CCCGGTTCCACCCTCCCCCCCTTTCTGCATGCATGCCCCTCCCCAAGTCCACTGATAGGGGAGGTCCTCCTCTCCTTCTTTCTGATCTTAAGACATTGGTAACTTCTGTACAGGGAAACTGCAAGTTCTCCTGGGCTTATTGGACCTGATATAAAATGACAAGGAATGTCATAGTTTAAGGCATCTGGTACTGTAGGCCAGCATGAAAGTCATAATTTTTGGCAGCTTCTAAGGGAAAAACAATGACAGAATTTTAACTTTTCTGTTGTAAAGACAATATTATGTCCATTAGAAAAAGTAAAAATATGCATAAAATAGCTAATTTAATTTTACAATCCCAGTTTTAAAAGCAGATCACAAATGTGAGATACAAAGATTGTATCCAATCTGCAGCCAATCTGTTTCAAGTGCCTATCCCAGTGTGCATTATAGATCTTTCTAGAGAGTGATCTCTCCATGGAGACACCTATGTGGTTTGCTCTGAGTCCTCCTGGTCATCCATGTGGAAAAGGCAGGTGATCTAGGGACACCTGGTTGCTCTTAGAACCATCCATAAGAGCTGTGTAGGACATTTTAATTTTTATCTGCTTTAAAATGTAATAAGAAGCTCAACTAAATATTTAGAATCCCAGAAGCAGAAAGACACACAAGGTATATACTCACTCATAAGTGGATACTAGACATATAACATAGGAAAAACATACTAAAATATATACATCTAAGGAAGCTAATCAAGAAGGAGAACTCTGGCTAAGATGTTCAATCCCCATTTAGAAAGGCAAAGAGGATGGACATCGGAGGAGGGAGAAAACAGGGAACAGGACAGGAGCGTGCCACAGAGGCCTCTGAAAGGCTCTACCCAGCAGGGTATTGAGGAGGCAGATGTTGAGACTCAACCAAACTTTGGGCAGAGTACAGGGAATCTTATGAAAGAAGTGGGAGACAGTAAGTCCTGGAGTGGACAGGAGCTCCACAAGGATAGTGACAAATTCAAAAAGTCTGGGCACAGGGGTCTTTTCTGAAACTGATACTCCAGCCGAGGACCACTCATGGAGATGGCCTGGAACCCCTGCACAGAGGTAGCCTATGGAAGTTCAGTATTCAAGTGGCCTTTAGGTACTTTAGGTCCTATCATATACATGCTCACCAAATCTATCTGGACGCATGGGTCTTCCGTGAGACTGAAAGTCCAACCAAATAGCATGCATGGAGATAACCCAGAACTTTTGCACAGATGTAGCCCATGACAGTTCAGTCTCCTAGTGGGTTTCCATAGTAATGGGAACAGGGACTGTCTCTGACATGAACTGATTGGCTTGCTCTTTGATCACCTCCCCCTTGGGGGGGAGCAGCCTTACCAGGCCACAGAGGAAAACAATGCAGCCACTCCTGATGAGACCTGATAGACTAGGATCAGAGGGAAGGGGAGGAGGACCTCCCTTATCAGTGGACTGGGAGAGAGATACAGGTGGGGAAGAGGGAGGGTGGGATTGGGAGGGGAGGAGGAAGGGAGGTACAGGGGGTATACAAAGTGAATAAACTGTAATTAATAAAAAGAAAAAAAATAATATATTTTACACTAAAAGTGCATTTTGATATGGACTGAATTTTAATTGCCTGTTCCAATAAATGCAATTCTGAGCCCCCGGACAAGAGGCTACAGAAGTGTACCCTGTGAGACAGGACTAGGATATAGATTCTGAGAAAATAGCCTGGACTGAATAGGAGTTGCTTGAGTAGTGTGTGACTGTTTGAAATCTACTGGAACAAAGTTAAGCAGTTTAGAAAAAAATATTCTATCTTAGGTTTACATTTGAAAGTGTTAATACCGGGTCGATATCTGGCAGGTGGAGCTGAGAGGAGGGTGGCCAGTCCATCTGGGTGCCCTCTGTGGCTGAGTGGCATGATGAGTGTTGATGGCCGGGCCTCCCCAGATGCCCCAGGGAATAAAACATCACTGAGCCTGGAGATCTGTCGAAGCAGGAACTCGATTTATTGAATAAAGCAGTCCTTTTTATAGGTTTGGGTCAAGGGGCAGGGTTAAGGAAGTGAGGAAAGATGACACAGAGGGCAGGATTAGGTAGTGCAAGGAGAGATGGGCCAGTTACAAAACTCCACTTCACAGTTACTAGGCAGGGTTAATTTTAAGGTGGATGTGCTGAATCACTTTTGCCCAGAAATAGCACCTCTTAAATCATAAGCTAAAGACAGGTCTCCAAAGTCAAGCCAGACTCAGGTAGATACAGCAGGGCTTATGAGACCCAACATATTAGTTTCATGGTCCTGGTAGTAGGGAAGAAGAGTGTCAAGCCCAGGGAAATGGGGAGAGATTCCACCTTTCAGAGTAGCCATTAGGCAGGATAATTTAGGCTGTTTATTGTCAGGAGTACTTATCTGGAATCTGATAGTATTTGAGAGGAGCCCAAAAATTTAGTTTGGCTATATAAGGTTAATTTGTGAGCAACTGTAATCTGAAACTAGCGTTTGGTTGTGTTGGGGAGAATATAATATGAGAAGTTCTGGTTGCATCAAAATACTATTTTTTTTTTTTTTATTTAAGATGTTCAGAGAGGTTCTTAAATTGAGATGTTTTGGATATATGCTTAGGAGTGGATCTTTTTTGTTTTGTTTTGTTTTTCTTTATTAATTACACTTTACTCACTTTGTATCCCCACCATGGTTCCCTCCCTCCTCCCATCCCAATCCCTCCCTTCCTCCACCCTCTGCATGCATGCCCCTCCCCAAGTCCACTGATAGGGAAGGACTTCTTTTCCTTCCTTCTGATCCTAGTCAATTAGGTCTCATCAGGAGTGGCTGTGTTGTCTTCTTCTCTGGCCTGCTAATGCTGCTTCCCCCTCAGGGGGAGGAAATTAAATAGCAGGCCAATCAGTTCATGTCAGAAACAGTCCCTGTTCCTATCACAATGGAACCCACTTGGATACTGAACTGCAATGGGCTACATCTGTGCAGGGGTCTTAGGTTATCTCCATGCATAGTTCTTGGTTGGAATAGCAGTCTCAGGAAAGATCCCTGTGTTCAGATTTTTTTGTTTCTGTTGCTCTCCTTATGGAGTTCAACCATATTTGTAGCAGCCTTATTTGTAATAGCCAGAAGCTGGAAACAGCCCAGATGCCCCTCAGTGGAGGAATGGATGCACAAATTGTGTTATATCTACACAATGGAATATTAATCAGCAAAAAAAACAA